CATCAAAATAACAGCGAGAACTTAGTTGCGCACCTAATATATATATATATATACATACATATATGTATAAGCAAATTCAAAACTATAATGAAATCAAACACGAAATACTTCATACGGAATATTTATTTTATAATATAAAATTTAAAAAATATATTATTAGAAAATTTTTTTCTTTAATTAATTATTAAAGTTAACGTTGGAAAATCATAAATAATCAAAATTAATATTACATGCATTTGCTACTTTTCTCACAGACAGCCATCTTTAACTTCCTTTACTGCTGTCGCATACGTTTCTACATTTATAGATCCTCTGTTTGTCTTTTTTTGTAAGATCGTACCATTCCACAGACTTTTATAATTAAATTATTGACTTAATATAATAAAAAGAGATGAACTTGATTCCGAGTTGTCCTTATTTCAGTTCATACATATGCATATGTATACGTTTGAATATCGCATAAATTTATGTGAAAACACTAACGTCATTATCTGTGATTTATACATGTAAGAGTGAATACAAATGGCGCTGTCCAGTATTATCTTCAAATATGGAGATGAAATAGGCAATCTATTTATAAAAGTCTGTACATCATTCTATAGACGAAAAAAAAATAGTTTTGAATAGGATAAGTTGTTACACTGTAATAACCGGCCCCGATCGAAGTGTAACTTACCCCAATCTTTCATTTTCAATTCGAAAAAATACAAACGAAAACTACATATATCGATAATACATATATCAATTCAAATAAAATGTGTTATTATAATCAAATGTATATAAAAAAAATGTATAAAAGGATAATCACATATCTCTAACTTATACAATAACATAAGCGATACAATGAAATATTTATTTTTAATAGTGAAAATCAAGAAAACATACTTAGCTTCTTCTAAAGTTCAAATATGGCGGGTAAACTAAGTGAAGTTATTGAGGTATTGTAAGAATCATATAAAAATTCATAAAAATGTACTGCCACCTGTGACAACTAAAAAAAGTAACTGTAACAAGTTACTCCGTGTAATCACTTGCCCCGGTCTCCTCTACTTACGATCACAGAGATTTGGGGAAAACAGTTTAATTGATCCACATAGTTAACATTCATCTGTACGCTCGCGCATGTACGTTAACACACAAATACAAGGAGTATATGAAGGATTTATATGAAGGAGAGGAAAGATGAGGAGGAGAAAGAGGGTAAGAAATCAAACTCGAATATTCGTCCTCGTCAAGATTATTATCAAAGGAATACGTAGTGCACATTATCAAAGGCACTTTTGCATGACATTTAACTTGCAGCTAGTTTAAAGGACGAATCCTAAATATCTTGAAACTCGAGTCAAGTCTAATCTGAGAACGATCTTAGCTTTCTTTTTTTAGGCTTCCTCGAGCCGAAAGAGCTCTTTCCAATGAGATTTCACGTGATCGAACCTTTTTCTAAAATTTAAAAACTTTTTAAGATTCTCGAGATGTAGCTCTCAATTTATCCTAATTTGAGCTAACCGGCCCCGATTTAATCGTAATAAATTTCGCCTTTTCTATTCGCGTATTCCCTCATAGTGTTTCTCTCTCTCTTTCTCTCTCTCTCCTCTCTTTCATTTTTAAATTTGCAAAAGGCATAAAAAATTGTACAATCGAATACATAATGGGATCTGTTAAAGAGTAGTAGAACGCTCCGCGATAACGATAAAAACAGCATGTATAAATACGCGGTACTTGTGCGTGGATATAATGGAGTAATATAGTATAATGTATAGAGCACATACGCACACGATACCGCTATCGAAAGAACATTTTCAATAGAATTAATTCATCTGTGATGTAAAATGTGTAAGACGATTAATTTCTTTTTTTAAGATCACAGAATAGTAGCGCCCGAGCGATATTTCACTTTGAAGAGAGATATACGAAAATGAACGGCAAAATGCGCGTTCTCCGTAAATAACTAAGTTCATCAATTTAAGTGAAATCACACTTATACATGTACGCACACGCATTCATACACATATCTAATAATAATAGAGAATTGCGCGCAACATCGTTCGCCCTCCAGAAATCTCGCCGATTAAAGCTAGTACGTGTGTTACGTGTAAATAAATGTTTAATATATTATAAAAAAGAATATAGCATAGTATAAATTATCAAATAGCTTAACAATACTGCTTACGCCAACAGTCACTGGACGAATAGTTGCAATAGTGTTCTATTCGACACGCTGGAATTCGGGCGAATTCTCCGTAACACACATGTATACATATCAATTGTATTATATTTTCGAAGTTCGAAGAGAACATTAGCGCTAAAATATATTAAAATCAAAATTTGGAATGTCATTGTGAATGTTGTCGAAACATTCGGCCATCCAGATTGTAGAGATCACTTCTGTCAAACTAGCTAACTAGGACTAAATGAACAGAATCGAAAAAGACCTTTTGAACTATTTAGTGTTTATTTTGTGCTAATTTGTGTTACAAAATATAATTATATCGGCACATTTTATATCGCTTCTATTGTGAAAATTGCGACTAATTCTGCTCGTGGCGAAGGGTACTCCACTTTTAAAATCTTGTAGGAGTCGAGGTTTCCAAAGAAACGGCAGGAGCACAAAATCTAAAACTTCATATTTTGACGATATAAATTATAGCAGTTCTATCAAGGATATTTTATTTTTGAATCCAATAGGCTAACTTTATAATAAGTTAACAAAATCACGAGTTTCTTCTAAATACAATAGTATGTAGTTACGAAGTTATGTTTTATACCACAAAATCAGTACTATACATACTTTCTTTCATTTTTCTTTTTTTTTCTTTTTTTTCTTGTCCTACTTCATGTTAAGTTAGTAGCATCACGCGTTTCTTCTAAATGGCATGTGATACAAAATTGTTCTTTGCAGCACAAATTAACACAAAATGAGTACTAAATAATTAAAAAGATATTTTCCGATTCTGCTCATTTGATCCTGCTAGCTTGACAAAGGTATAGAGATCTTATGTCTTCGGTTCGAATTGCACAACATGGCGCATAAATAATTTTTTCATGTCTAATGCTATACGAACGATGATGTTCATTATAATGTAAATACTAATTTTCATAATCTTATAATGAGAACAACCTGCTCAATTAATGATAAAAAAAGAAAAGAAATAACAATCGCATTTTTACACTGCAAATTCAAATGACTTTAAAATATGTGTGTGATATTAGTTTTCAGTGTACACTGAGAAAAAAAAGTTGCTGTTTCAAAAAAATATGAGTTGATTCAACTAAATGTAGCGATCACAGATTGTCAAGCAAATATTTGTTAATTCAAACAAATAATATGTTTTAAATTTTAATATGTTTTAAGATTTTATTAATCTAAATATATAAATATTTGAACTAAATAATCATTACGAACTAAACGCATTTAGCCAAATTAACAGCTTTTTTTTTCTCAATGTAAAAATAATACTACATTACACCCACATACAAAAATGAATGTACTACATTTAAGGCCGTTATTTTAATTTTAAGTGAAGCTTAAAACTCTTTCTGTATCTGTTTCTTTTTTACTTTAACTCGAGACAGATAGAATTTTAAGTCCCGCTTAAAGTCAAAGTGACATTGATGCAACTGAGCCTTAAATGTGTAGTACACTGAGAAAAAAAGTTTAACTTTATTAAATGCGTTTTATTCGTAATGATTATTTAGTTCAAATATTTATACATTTAGATTAACAAAATCTTGTAATTTAAACCATGTTATTTATTTGAATTAACAAATGTTTGCTTGACAGCCCGTGACCGCCACGTTTAGTTGAATCAATTAATATTTTTTTGAAACAGCAACTTTTTTTTCTCAGTATATAGAGTGATTTTTCAAAACAAACGAAATTATACACATATATTAAAGTTACATTTTACATATTTGCGGTGTATGGCAAATGTAATTTAGAACTCGATGTTTAGAAATAACTATTAAGGGATAAGAGGATCGAACTTACACAGGATAAGTGAAAAATGCATAAAGAATTATCGTAATATACGCCGTTACTTATATACCTAATAATAAATTTTGTCTTTTAAGTAGAAACGATTATTTCCAACGAGTTATTTATCGAGTACTTCCTAGTATACATATATCTATATAGAATACGTTTTAATAGCAAAGTCGTTTCGCAAAGTTGTGCTTCTTTCTAATGATATAATCTCCAATATATTCTTGGTCCTTGAATTCGATTCTTCGATTTCCTATCTTCAACGGTCGAATGTGTTATACGTTTGTTCGTGATTATGTGTGTATGATTATCGAAAGTTTCGCTTTTCAAATTCTCTTCGGAAGTTTTCCTCTCGAAAAAAATGTTCGGATATCATGATCTACGTCTCGATTCGATATAAATATGAGGACTGTCACGTTATGCCACGTAAAAGTCGCTACTTAATCCACGCGGAGATTCCGTCTTCTCGGGTCTGCCTGTTTTGATTATCTTGCAGCGCCACGTTTCTTTTCGCTTACTTTCCTTTTTTTTTTCAGTATTGCGTTTCCTCACAATGTCATTACTCATTATATGATTTGCCCGTCGAGAATGATTTGCGGGAGAATGATGTTCGCTGACTGCGGAATTTCATTCCCAAGAATATTGCAGTCGGAAGACGCCGATAAGAATGGATTGAAGATAACTTTTCCGCGTGTTCGCGTTATACGCTTGTTGTGTGTCGCTCCTTTCATCCTCTTTCGATCCTACCATCTAGATCTTAGAGACGTAAAGCGGCCGATGAACCTGCTGCGGGTTTCCATTCTGCTTCGAGTATCGCGCATTTTGCAGCAACTCTCGGGTCTCGCTGGGCGAGCTTGGGCTGAGACTATTAGTGGTCGAGGTCTCGACACGGTCGCTGATGATTTCTTCCTCGGTAATCTGCTCCAGGTACAGTGCCGACTGGACCGTCGACTGATTGTCGTCGTTGATCGCGACCTGCGGCGTATACGCCGGCGGTGGGCTCCGTGGCGGCGAACCGCCACCGTCGACCTTGCCATTATCCTTGATCTCAAGGCATGTGTCCGATGACACCTGTCTCATCTGTTTCGCCCGTCTGGCGTGGCGAGTGGTCAGTCCACCGGTTTCTACATCCCGCTCCAATCGATGTCCTGATCGGGATCTGGTGAGTTGCCGTTGTACGTATTCCTCGAGATCGTCCTCTTCCTTCTTCGCGATCACACGATTCAGAACAATCAAGAAAATACCGACTAGGATTGCGAACAGGCCGACTGCGACCAACTCGTTCCACCAGCCGCCAGATGCTTTAGTGCCCCAATGAGCAAGGTCTCCTGGCAACAAGCCGCTCATCAGCAGCCCAGTACCAGGAATACCACGCCGATGTGCAGCATTCCAATCGAAGTAACTACCTTCGTGTCCAGCATACCCTGGCCAGCCGCACGCGCTCCGCCATGCGTGCCCTTGTGATGCCTGCCATGGTGGTCCAGCGATCCAGTCGAAGCTCTAGGCGATGTCAGGCCGCTTTCGCCCGATTGCGCGCTATAACGACGCTCGCGCGCGCGACGCTGCTCGTCCCGACGCATTCGCTGACGCTTGATGGCCAGCGCCGAGTGCAATCCAACCGCGTGCATCCTGCAACACCGGAAAGATAACCCTTTGGCTCAGTCAATCCCGCTAGTCAATTTTCTTCGACGAATTTCTACTCCCGCAAGCCTATCTCTGTTTCCACATCATCATCGCGAGATCATTTCTTTTTATTTTCTGACAATTTGTTGTCATTGAAAAGCGCATGCCACCCCGATCGATGATGATATATTTGATCTCGCGATGTTGCGATCAGTCGAAAAACCGAAAGGAAAGAAATGCCAGATCAGTCTGACTGTAAAATCATTATTTTGAAACAGGCAAAGTGTCGATAAAGCAATCTACATGCCTGCTCGCAACGAGCAATGTGGCTGAGCGATTGAATGAGCACAATCGCATATACATTATGACAATTTAATCAATCGACATCACTACTGGCAATAAACGGGCTGAAGGAAAATTCGTGTTGATGATTTTAAGATATTGTTTCTATTGCCTCTATTATGCAATCTTATTTAGTTTTCGACTAGTCCTCATTTTATTCTAGCAAATTCATCTGCGTCGCAACACTAATTAGCTACTTCTAAATTCATCTAAAGGCCTACAGGATCTATATACAGGGTTTTACAGGATGCACTGCGATGGAATCACGTGTCAAAGCGATCGACGGCGAGTCACGTGCATTCTCAGTCCCCTACAAAGGGATCTTCTCTCGTCAGCACGCGTGTCTCGTTTATTTAAGGGCCACAGACTCACTCACTCACTCACTCGCTCACTCGCTCGCTCGCTCACTCACTCAGTAACTCACTCATTCACTCTCTCTCTCTCTCTCCCCCTTCCCTCTCCCCTCTCTCCTTCTCTCTTCTCCCCCCTCACTCTCTCCTTCTCGCCCCCTCCCCCCGCAATGTGTGAGTTAGTGAGCATATAATTTTCATATGACAGGCAGACATTAAAAATGAACAGCAGTGCTAACCTGTGCTAATGTTTCCGTCGGCGTCATAACTAACCGTTATCAATCGATAACCGTTATCAATCGATATGTCGAGGTATCGATGCTTGAAGTATTTCCATTCTGGGAATCTATGAAATTTTACTCGTATTTTTCATATTATGATAAGTTTTTCCTAAAAAACGTAAGAATTTTATTAGACTAGACTTCTTTGTCAATAAAATGTCATTATTTAAATATCATATTGGTAATAATTCATTTTGTACAGTTTTACAATAAACTTCTATAGATATTTCTACTCTGTAAGGTTAGATAAAAATCTATGAAATACCCTTCACGGTTCTCGTATACGTTCAGATGGGATTTTTAAATCGTTGAAAAAACCGATCAAATTTATAGTTTCTTTTATACATTATCGATGAAAACTTAATGATTAAATTGTAAATCGAGAATGATCCATTTTATATGATGAATTTATGATAAATTCCTGTAGATATGTCCATTTTGGAAAATCAGATAGCAATCTGTGAAATTTCATCCGTATATTTCATATACATTCAGATAAGTTTTCCAATTCGCTAAAAAACAATAAAACTTTATTATAGACTTAGTTTTGTACTGCCGATAGAAACTCATAGAACGAAAGATTAATAACAATTTTATTTTTATGATTAATATACGATTGTTAGTCGTTAAGAAAATGATATTGTAGAAATAGATAAATGTTAATTTATTATTTTACTATTCTTTCAGATACAATAGATTGAATTCGATAGAAAGAGATAGAGTTTCTATCATTAGTTTCCAATTTTAACAGAATATAAATCTTATAGGAACCGATAAAATACGATAGGATTTATCTGATGCTTGAAAAATCAATGATACAACTTATGGAAAACAATATAAATTGATAGAAATTAGATTATTCTCTATCAACTTTTTTTTATCTGGGTAATATTTTAACATAAATAACTACATTCGGACTATTTTGACGTTACCACCATATGCATTATATGGAGGCATAGTCCGCTTGGCATCCCTCTAGAAAAGTACAAAATTTTTTAATAAAAAAATACAAAAAGAGGAATGTCAAACGGACTATGCTTCTAACGTGATGCATCCTGGGTAATGCCAAAATAATCCGAAAGTAGTTATTTATATGAAAACTATGAAATAAATAACGATTGTAATTAAGAAAAATAAATTACAATTTTTTTAACATAAAAGTGGCTATAATTTTGAAATGACTTATTTCCGGACCTATATTCATATAGCTTTTTTGGGTCCCGAATCATTTCCGGAAGTAGGGGAAACCGGAATCAGTTGAATATAGAGGTAAGCAGAATAATCAAGGCTACATTAAAAACAAAACACGTGAGACACGCGTAAATGTGTCTGAGCATGCAGTAGCGACTGCTGCTAAAATCTGCTGTAATATCTTGTTGCAAACACATCTATGATAGAAGTTTTACATTCACAGTTTTAAAAAATCTTACACCTAAATAAATATTTTATATTCTTAAAATTTTTGTTTTACAATTATATATGATTGTCTGAGATATTTCTACTTAGATAGTAAATGTAGTTTTTATTTAATAAAGTCCAACATATTTTTTTTGCTAATGTGTCTTTGTTATCATATATTGTTAATGTTTTTAAAAAATGAAATGGATGGGGATAGTAGACTAACCACAGCATGGAACTATATGTCTCATTTAGTAACGACTCTTATAGTACTTACTCCAAATTTTATTCCTTTAAAGAGATTTTCGTCAGTGATAAATGTTATAAGTTTAGTTCCCTCATGTCCAATCTCGAAAATTAGACTTATTCGACGTGTTTTTGCGCGAAATGAACAAATTTTGCAAAAAGAAGTATTGTTTTGCCTTGCGAAGCGAATGTTTATATTTAAAATATATTTTTATAAAAAGTTTTATTAATATGTAGCCAAAGATGTATTATAGTTTAAATACATTAATCTTTATTTTAATAATCTTAGTCGAATTATCCCGGGTATGTGAAGTTAGCATCCCAACTATAGTACTCAGGAGTTCTGATTAGAGTTTCCGTTTCCTTTTGACGAGACAAAGAGTTCTATATAATTTATAACAAGAGTTCCGCTTAATAATTATTTTAAAATAATTTTTAAAAAATGGGGTGCTAATTTCTCATCGAAAATCGAGATCGAATAGTTCTGAGTGGCTCAATAGCTTCATTTCGTGAATACCTAGAGTTCCTGATGCATAAAAAAAAATTTTGAAAAATAAAAAAAAATTAAAAATTTTTGAAAAATCAATTTTTAGATACAACAAAGTTCTGATTAGAGTTCCTGCTTCCTTTTAACGAGATGAAGAGTTCTCTATATTTTTTAATGCAAGATTCATTTAATAACAATTTTTAAATAATTTTTAAAAAATTTTTTGGAAAATTAATTATTTTTTTATAAAATAGTTCTGTGACACGTTAATTGTCATTCTAACAATTACAAAGAGTTCTCAGCGATTAAAACCAATACAGACTCAATAATAAAAAAGAATGGTAGAGTTCAAATGTCTCCGTATCATAACGTCGAAAAATTTTTTGAGAGTAGTTCTGATCAGAGTTCTGTGTAGTTCTCGACGAGTTCTGTCAAAAACTATTAGGTGACAAAGCGATTGGATGATTACATAAGGAAATACGTACTTCTGCAATCGATTTTTCAAATTTCGTTTTAAGTATATATCTTTTTTATTATTGAGTCTGTATTGGTTTTAATCGCTGAGAATTCTTCGTAATTGTTAGAATGACAATTAACGTGTCACAGAACTATTTTATAAAAAAAATTTTTTTTCCAAAAAATTTTTTTAAAATTATTTAAAAATTGTTATTAAATTGTTATGATTCTTGCATTAAAAAATATAGAGAACTCTTCGTCTCGTTAAAAGGAAGCAGGAACTCTAATCAGAACTATTGTATCTAAAAATTGATTTTTCAAAAATTTTTAATTTTTTTTTATTTTTCAAAATTTTTTTTATGCATCAGGAACTCTAGGTATTCACGAAATGAAGCTATTGAGCCACTCAGAACTATTCGATCTCGATTTTCGAGAAGTTAGCACCCCATTTTTTAAAAATTATTTAAAAATAATTATTAAGCGGAACTCTTGTTAAAAATTATGTAGAACTCTTTGTCTTGTCAAAAGGAAACGGGAACTTTAATCAGAGTACTATAGTTCTCCTGAGTACTATAGTTGGGGTGCTAACTTCACATACTCAATTACCCCGGTCCCGAAGCTAGTTGAATCAGATGGAATGCATTAGAAAAATGCATTTTTTTCATATTAGTTATCAGTTTCCCCTTATTATTAAAATATTATTAAGTAATCAAATGTAATAACTGATGTAGAATTCATTTTTTCTATAAGTCTCTTAAGTTTATCTATAAAAATTCGAAACTAAAAAATGAATCTATTAGTCCTAAGGGTCTTCCCTATTGCGGGCAATTTTCCGGACACTCCTTCTGTATACTAACGCTATATTATATTTTGGTTACATATTTTTAGGCTTTGGCAGCCTGTAGCTTTAGCCTCTGGCTTCGATCGCCTGCGTGCTAACACGCATCACACGCTCGCTAGACACGGCCCTGGCACACATAATTAATGTCGGAGCATAACAAAATATAAAATTTAATAGCAAGATACTACGAAATGTTTCGAAATAAATTTATATTCGTTCGTATAGTAAACATTTTTGTAATAATATTATATCAATAAATAAACTATTTTTAACTAATTTTTAACACGAAAAAAATTAAATACATTGATGAAGTAAGGCTGAAA